CAGTAGCTAGGTATTGCGCATCTCCGAAGCTGGTACACTGGACTGCAGCGATGGATATTTTAGGCTATGCGAGGAGGACGAGTCACTTTGGTATTTCGTTTCAGAGAGGTACGGTGGAGGAATAATGCTTGCAGGGGTACGCTGATGCGGACTTTGCAAGCAAGGTAGCAGACCGTAGGTCGGTGTTAGGGGGGATCGTGACGTGTGGAGGAGGCGCTGTGTCTTGGTTTTCCAGAACGCAGAAGTGTGTCACGCTTTCGACCACAGAAGCAGAGTACGTCGCGCTAGGTGACGTAGTGAAGGAGATTTTGTTTTTGAGGCAGATTTGGCGTTTCATGTTGCCGCAGGTCGGCATGCCGTGCATCCCCATCTTCGAGGACAACCAGGGGGCGATTCAACTAGCGCAGAACCCCATCTCAAACTCGAACTCGAAGCACATAGATGTAAGGCACCATTTTCTCAGGGAACTGATAGAGAGGAAGGAAATTTCGGCCATCCACGTGCCGTCGCCGTACCAGCGTGCAGACTTTCTTACGAAGAGTTTGTCGAAGGATGCTTTCGAATCTCACCGTGAATTTGTGATGAATTTGGCATGAACATTTTATTGTTTTCTGATGGGTTATGCTTTGATTTTGTTCTGTTTCCCGTTTTGTTTGTTTCCCGCGCCAAGTATTTGTGAAGCGCGATGCAGCATTCATATTTCTTTGACATGTTTTTCTCTCTTTTATTGTTCTGGTCAAGTCTTCATGGTATATATTCTAGGAAAGACGTCCTTTGGTTGAGATATCGGGTGTTAGCGAAGTTTTCATTGAGAAACTGTTGAGCAGGGGGATGTTAGATATACTCGCAGCAGTATCTGGTCGTGAGGATCCCAGGGGGACACGTGTTGGGAATTTCGTGTGTTAAAGGGTACCACCGGCGTAGTCACGGGGACCCTTTGCGCGTGGTCGGTGCGATGATGAGGAAGGCTTGCGTGCGTGCTGCGCTGTCCTTCCTCTTCTTCTTCTTCTTCCCTCTCTCTCCACCACCACCACCGTCTC